CTCCCTTCCTCCCTCCCTTCCTTCCTTCCTTCCTTCCTTCCTTCTTTCTCTCTTTTTCTTTCAGTGGTTCTGGGGTTTGAGCTCAGGACCTTGCCCAGACAGAATAACCATGCAGTTGTTCTTGTTTTTATCATTGTTGATATTATTTCCTAGAGATTAAGCAGCTGGAGAGGAAAGACCACCCATGACAACAACGCTGGGCACCTTTAGTTTTAATTTTTTTTTAATTTATGTATTCGTTGTGTGTGTGTGTGTGTTTATGTGTAGGTGTGTGTGTGTGTGTGTGTGTGTGTGTGTGTGTGTGTGTGATATGCTTGTGAGTATGGGCACACTTACGCCACAATGTGCCTGTGGAGATCAGAGGATAAATTTAGACAGTCATTTCTCTCCTTCACTGTGGGACCTGGGGATGGAACTCGGGTTCTTGGACTTGCTCAGCAAGTGTTTTTACTCAGTGATCCATCTCACTGGCCTTCAGATACCTCTAAAATAACTTCCTTTCAAAGCTTTGAGATATAATTTAAAGTTGACCATAGTAGGTAACTTGGAAAAAAATAGGCGGGGTGAGAGTCAGTGTTTGGCAAGACTTTGCTAGAATGCCTGGAAACTATGGGCATTGATGGTATCATAAGTTGGAGGGCCTCTTCTGATGCCACTTGGTAGTGGTTAGGAAGGGCCACCAAGACATATGATACTTTTAAATATTTTTTGAGGGGAATATATTAACATTTTAATGTAATTAACTTCAGGTTGGGCAAATACATACATATGTACATACATATACTGTACATTATTTTTTTATTTTGCTAATTAAAATTTTTAAAAAAATTAATTTCTTTATTTCTTTATTTTACATCCCAGCTGCAGTTCCCCCTCCCTCCTCTCAGTTCCTCCCCCGCAGCCCACTCTGTTCCCATCCCTAATCCACTTCTCTTCCATTTCTGATTAGGAAAGGACAGGTCTCCCCTGACCCAGAACATGACATATCAAGTTGCAGTAAGCATCTCCCCAAGTATTAAAGGCTTGGCAAGGTGACCCAGTATGAGAACAAATATTTTATTTTTTAAAATACATTTATTTTATTTTAAATTCTCTCTCCTCTCTCTCTCTCTCTCTCTCTCTCTCTCTCTCTCTCTCTCTCTCTCTCTCTCTCCCTGTGTCTGTGAATGTGTATCTATGTGTGTACGTAGGCATGTCTGTGTCTACGTAGGTATATGCCCTTGAGTGCAGTGCTCAGGGAGGCCAGAAGAAGGCACTGGATCACGCGGAACTTGACTTGCAGCACCTAATATGGGTGCTAGGAACCAAACTTGGATCCTCTGGAAGAGAAGTGAGAGCTTAATTAATCATTGGATCATTTCTCCAGCCCCTTCTGTGATTCTCTGCAATGTAGCATGGTGGTTTGAATGAGAATGTCCCCCATAGGCTCTGTGAACACCCCATCCCCAGCTGGTGATGCCATTTGGGGACGTTTAGGAGGCGTGGCCTTGTTGGAGGAAGTTTGTTATTGGAGGTAGGTTTTCAGTATCCAAAGACTCTCTCATCCAGTTGACTCTCTGCTTCGTGTTTATGGTAAAAGATATGAGCCCCCAGCTTCCGGCTGCTGCTGCCATGCCTCCCTGCCATGATGGACTCATCCCTTTGGAACCATAAGCCCAGATAAACTCTTTTATAAGTTGTCTTGGTTGTGGTACTTTCTCACAGCCACAGAAAAGTAACTGATATACCCAGGAAGGCATGCAAATATTCCCTGTGACATCACCTAGACACGATACAAGTGACTTAGTGGAACAACTCAATATATGATGTCATGCTAGCCATTTATTATAACCCTGAAGGCTAAACCATCACAGAAAGCATCTTAAAGGGAGCCAAAGGCAGACCCCAGTCCCAGGAGCAAGGCCAGAACTAAGGTGCTTGAAGGGAATGCCTTCACCAACTTTCTTGACCAATAGGGTACGACTTCCTCAGACTATGGAAACAAGGACCTCCCCTAGAAAGCCCCTATAACTCATCTATCAACTTGGTAAGAAAGAAAGCTTTTCCGTGGAGGACTTGAGACCACCATTCTCAGTTTAGGGAACACGTTTCCTCACTGGGACCCCTTGGTGGTTCTAGCTCTTCAGTAAAGCCCTGTGCCCACCACCACGTGCAAGTGTGCAGGAGTGACTGAAAGGGACCCAGTGGGACCCACTACTGTCTCCTAACAAGCCTGCACAAGGACTTGGGGATGGGGAGTAGTTTAGAAAAAATGGGGACAGAGAAGTCAGGGTGATGACTAGGAAGACACGCATTCCTTTTGTCCCCAAAATGTACTACAGGAAGGTAACTCTTGAACTGAGACAACTAATGCTTGGACTAGACATGGGTAAAACACACACACACACACACACACACACACACACACACACACACACACACATTCTTCTTTTGTCTCCAAAGGCTACTATTATGCATGTTCCTTAGCTTATTTTGTTGTTGTTTTCATGTGATTTTAAATAGTGAGTGTCTTTGCATACCGCTATGCACAGATATACTGAAAGGACCAAGCAGACCCTCATAACAGGCTGCTCAGTCTTCTCTCAGTTCATGGGTCAATGTGAGCATGTTAGGCCAGCCAGCCTCCATGGCCGTTCAAGGACAGAGCCTGGGACTTGTCCAGGCCTGCCCAAAAATGATAACTGTAACCCCCAACCAGTAAATTCAAAGGTTACACACCCTCACCCAATCATATGATGCAAAGGCTTGTACCACCTGCTTTTTTGGTTTTTCCTTTTAAAAATCCCTCATTTTGAGAGATCAGGGCTGTCCTCCTCCACCCACTGTGTCCGAGTGTTGTACACGAACCAAGCCTGGGCTTGCTTGTTATCAATAAACCCCTGTGTGTTTTGCATCAAATATTGGCTCTGTGGTGGTCTTGCTCGGGGGTCTCGTAACACGGGCACAACAATACCATACATACACTATATGTATAGGTATATATATACATGTGTGTGTGTGTGTGTGTGTGTGTGTGTATAATGTGAATGCATACATATATACACGTTCTTTTGTGTGTGTTCATGCATGCTGAGGCCGAAAGTTGAGGTATGGCCTCTGCCCGGGGGTCCAACCCCACTCACTAGCTGAGTGACACTGGGTGAGCCATTAACCCCTCAGAGGCTCTGGCTCTTAGTCTAGAAAATAAAGAGACCCATGTGCCTTGCAGAGGCTTGTGGGTTCAGAGTCATGCAAATTGATGTGTTAAAGGGGTAACATAAGGGAGGTGGAACCCCATCTCCAGCCCCTGGGAAGGATCTAAGTCTGAGAGAGAGAGCAAGAGAGAGAGAGCGAGAGAGAGAGAGAGAGAGAGAGAGAGAGAGAGAGAGAGAGAGAGAGAGAGAGAGAGAGAGAGAGAGAGAGAGAGAGAGGACACCAGCAATTGTTAAATGTAGGATCTCAAGGGGGACCAGGGAGAATGAATACCGAAATGAGAGGTATCCTTTTTTGATACCTGGCAGTTCCCCTCCTGGGCCCAGCTTTCTCATCTACATATTAAGCCCAGTTAGTTGATCTCCCAGACTTCACTGACATTGCTGTGTGAACACCTGTGGGAAGGAACCACTCAGCTTGACCCACAGCAAAAAGTTGGCACCAGATACTTTAAAAAGCTGAAGAGGAGCTGCTGTTCACAGTGGGCTTAAAACACCCAGAAGGGAACTCTGGTCCCTTAGAATGCATGGAATTTGCTGGAAACAAAGTGTATCTGGGATGTGGGAGGAACACTGTGGTTCTGCCCAGAGGGTGTGCTGGGATCTTACTTCAATAAAACAGGAAGCCCAAGAGTCTGCCAAACAGGATTTGGGGAAGGAAGGGGTGGAGAGAAGTGCTTCTCCAGCAAGCCAGCTGTGCCCCTGACAGTCCCCTTCCAGCCCAGAGCCAGGGTCTGGTCACATTCAGTCACATTTAATCCATTAGCTAAGGGGAGGGGGTGTCCTGGCTTCCAGGAGCTCAGAGTCTTCTGCAAGACAACAGATGTGTGCGTTAAGGTGAGTGCAAGGTCAGCATTAGGGACAGTAGATAAAGCCTCCAAACCAGTGTGGGGACAGGGCAGCTAGCCAACAAAGCTGGGCCGTGTGCTCTCACGGGCTCCCTGCAAATCCAGGCTCTGACCTCAGCCACTGTGTAGTCTGTGGCCAAGTTTCTTAGATTTTCTGAACACTTTCCCTCAGCTGAAGGGCAGCTCTGCCTGTGCCAATGTTTCTCATCTACAGAACTGGATATGTACCTTCCCGGGAAGACGACCATTGGCTAATTTTATGTCAGCTTGACACAAGCTAGCCTCGTTTTAGAAGAGGGAACTGCTGTTGAGAAAATGCACCCACCAGACCGGCCCACAGTGCATTGTCTGGATTGATGATGGATGTGAGAGGGTACAGCCTGCTGTAGGTGGTACCACCCCTGGGCTGGTGGTCCTGGGTGCTATAAGAAAGCAGGCTGAGCAAGCCATGGAGAGCAAGCCAGTAAGGAGCACTTCTCCATGGCATCTGAATCAGCTCTTGCCTCCAGGTTCCTGCCCTGAGTTCCTGTCCTGACTGTCTTGGATGATGGACTGTGATGTGGAAGTATAATATGAATAAATCCTTTCCTCCCCAAATTTCTTTCAGTAATGGTGTTTCATCACAGCAAGAAAAACCTAACTAAGCCAATGACTATGGATTTACAATACTTAGTTAAGTAATGTTCATGTAAAATTAAGGATCATAGACAACTTTTCTATAATTTATTTTTATTTTATGTGCATTGATGTTTTGCCTGCATATGTGTCTGTGAGAGGGTGTCAGAAGCCCTGGAACTGGAGTTACAGACAGGTGTGAGCTGTCATGTGGGTGCTGGGAGTTGAACCCAGGCCCTCTGGAAGAGCGGCCAGTGCTCCTAACTGCTGAGCCATCTCTCCAGCCCCCTATAGACAACTTTTCTATAGATCAAACTTTAGGTGTGACTCTTTTTTCTTTTCAAAACTAAATAGTCGGTTCTGGTGGCGCAGGCTGGTAGGATTTGCTGAAGGAGGCAGAGGCAGGAGGATCTCGAGTTCGAGGCCAGACTGGGATACATATTTTTGGGAGCTGTAGGAGTGGCTCAGAGGTTAAGAGCACTGACTGGTCTTCCAGAGGTCCTGAGTTCAATTCCCAGCAACCACATGCAACCATCTGTAAGGGGATCTGATGCCCTCTTCTGGTATGGGTGAAAACAAAGCACTCCTATACATAAAATAAACAAATATTTAAAAAACAAACAAACAAATGTGTTTGTGTGTGACTGTATGTGTGCATGTGTGTTTGTGCATGCCGATGCTTGTAGAGGCCAGAAGACAGCATTGGATCCCCTGGAGCTGGAGTTACAGGAGATCATGAGTCACCTGTCATGGGTGCAGGGTGCAAGAGCAGCAGGCACTCTTGGCCATGGGCCATCTCTTCAGCCCTTCTCTTCTTTCTTTCATTTTTGAGTTGGTGTTTTGAGACAGGGTCTCATATGGCCCAGGCTGCCCTTGAACTCACCATGTACCTGGGGATGACCTTGAACTCTGTTATCCTTCTACTTCTCAATGCTGAGATTGTAGGTATGATCTGCAGTGCCTGCCTTTTTATTTTATTATCAAAACCAAGGTGCGATGCCCACACCAGCCCACACCTACAGGGTCAGGATCATTGGTATCGCTGTCTTTGGCCTCTGTATCTTTTGTCCCTGCAATGTCTAGGTCTTCAGGAAAGCGACACACGCAGCCATGGCCTCCTGTGACAACAGCACCTCCTCTGGCTCTCTCCTGAAGGCCTGCCTGAGGCTGTTCCACAGTTAACTTGGCCTTTTAAAGGTAGGAGTACACTCTAAAACAACTATTAAAATTATGCACAGGCACACACACTGGGAACAAGGTGGTTTATCATCACTATCAAGTCTCAGGGCTGACTGTCATTATGTCCTGTGCTTTTGTTTTTAAAGTTGATTTTGTTTTGTGTGTGTCTGTGTACATGTGTGCAAGGGTTTTTAGTGGATTCTAGGGATTTGCACTCAGGTTCTCATGCTTGCACAGTAAGGGTTACTGCCCAGGGAGACATCTCCTGGCTCCCAAAAGGCCAGCCCTCTATCTGTCTATCTATCTATCTATCTATCTATCTATCTATCTATCTATCTATCTATCTATCTATCTATCTATCTACCTACGTATCCACCCACCCATCCATCCATCATCCATCCATCCATCTATCCATCTTTCTTGTTTTTCAAAACAGGGTTTCTCTGTATAACAGTCCTGGCTATCCTGGAACTTACTTTGTAGACCAGGCTGGCCTCACGGAGACCTACCTGCCCCTGCCTCCCGAGTGCTGAGATTCAAGACCACACTGGGCTTTGCACTTGCTGTTCTTCACAGGAAAGGTAGCACAGCATCTCTGTCAACATCGGTGTCAACATGTACAGTACTGTGGCATTACGGCGGTTACAGAGCCACCAGGCCATACGTAGCAGCTTCCTGTGGGCATGTCAGCTGCACTGTCCATTCTAATGGAAATGCCACTATGTACTTACCTCTCTTAGGGTGCAGAGACCACCCACTGATGCCCAGCTCTATGATGTAGGCCATTCTGCCTGCCTCCCCAGCAGGGAGAATGCTGCCTGGCACAGAATGGGAACCCAGGACATACTTCCTTCCTTCCTTCCTTCCTTCCTTCCTTCCTTCCTTCCTTCCTTCCTTCCTTCCTT